CCCACGGGCTCGAGCACACCTGGTGCGAGGCTCTGAGGGCAGCAGGCCCGTTCGGGCCTGGGCAGCGGGCCTCGTCCCTCCCTGAGGCTGAGTGGGGGCGTCGTGAGCAGCCCGGCAGCCCCCCCCGCCCTCCGCCCACACCGGCTCCCAGTTCCCACTGTGACTCGGGGTGGAAGGCCCTCACCATCCAATTGTCCTCTAGAGGAAGAAATCAAGGGCCCCATAGTAAAGGTCACGCAACTGGCAGAGGGGCTGGGGGGGGGGTGTGACACCCAGCTGCGCCTGATTACGGCTTCTGGGGGGCTGTAACGAACCCCTCTTTATAACTGTCGACCCCCGATCGCTGCTTCAAGGGCCCCGGGACGGATGTTCTGTAGTTCAGAACTGTGTCCATCAGGGTCCTGGCCGGAGAAGGATGGCCGCCCAAGCGAGGACAGCCAGAGGGCCAGAGCGGGGCCAGGTGTGGGCTGAGGGACCGGGCAGGGAGGGTTACGAGGAAGAGGCCGCCTAGAGGGGAATGTGGACCTTTGGTGGAGGGACACGGCCGGCCCACGCAGCCCCCTGGAGGGACCTGGGGGTGAACTCACTCCCTCTCCTCCCACCCTCCTGTCCCCACTGGGACCCCGTTGCCTGAACTCAGCCAGGATCCAGGGAGAGAGGTCGTTGCTGTGGTGACTCAGGCTGGCTCCCTCAGCGGAGGGTGGGAGGGAGACAGCAGCCCCCGTGATCTGGTTCCGGCAGCAGGAACGGCCTCCCTCACATGATGAACCACCACAGGGCGTGGGCAGCGCCCAGACTCAAGCACAGCAAACGCACAGCCTCGGCACAGAGCCGGGCGAGGGCCACGGGTGCCCCGCGGGTGCAGGCGAGCCTGCGCTGACGACAGGCCTGTGGGGTCTTCCCCAGGGACACAGACGGTTCCTGCCACCACTTGTGCTGCGAGCTGGGCACCGGTGACCTTGGTTTATCCTCCGCCCATCCGCTGAGGCACCTCCTGGGCTGGTGTCCTTGTTTCTTTGTCCTCGGGCCCCAGCATGGGTGGGTGGGTGGATGCTCAAAGGTGCCTGTCCAGCGGTGGATAAACCAAAGGAGATCGGAGGCAGGAGAAATGCACCCATCTGGGCTTGGCCTCGGCCCGTGGTTACCACGTCCAGTGACAGTGACTTGGATGTTTTCCTGGCTGAGATTCCAGCTGACACCTTGTTTAGTAAATGTTCACTGTGAAGCCAGATTTGGTCGATCAATTCCCTCAGACTCGACGTACTGAAAGCACCGATGCTCACATCAAATACGCTGGCAGGTTCGAGGAGGGCCTGGGCTGCCGTCCCACCTGATGGGGTTCCCCTCTGGCCCTCATCCTGTGGGACAGTCCTGTTCCCCCCCCGGCCCTGCCCCCACCCCAGCCTCAGCTCAGCCACCTGCTCTCACACAGGACTCTGAATCTGAGGGGAGATTCGGAGATGGCGGGGTAGTGGATGCTTGTGGGCAGGCAGGAGAGTCTGGTGGGGTGGGTGAGTGTCTGGCCACATGTATCCTTCCTCGTGCTGTCAGAGAGCACACATTGCCCTCTGAAAGCACCCCAGTGGGGGTCATTCCTGTGTGGACCCCAGAGAGGCCCTGGCTGGCCCCGAACTAGCTCTGCCCTTGCGACCCAGCCTCCTGGGTCCCCCATGCACCCGCCCTGGTCACTCCTTGGCCTTTCAGGCTTCAGTGGAGAAATCAGAGCCGGGTCACACGGCCCCAGTGCAGGTCCAGGCCCACTGTGTTGATGACCGTGTGGCCACACGGCTGTGAAGGATGACTACCAGAGGGGTCCACATTGAAAAGCTGTCTGGTCTTTTCAGCACGTGTGCTGGATCCCAGTCTTTGGAACCAAGTGGCCTTGGGTTTGAAAAGTGGCCCCACCTCCCCTGTAGGATGCTGAGAGCACTCCTGCCCCCAGGCTTGGGGAGGATGGGGTGGGGGGCCTGAGCCAGCACAGGGGACTGCAGGGGCAGGGGAAGTTGCAGGAGGGGAAGTGGCCCCTGGTGGCCTCGCCCCTTCACCAGGGGCCCAGACCCCTGCTGGAAACCTGAGGGTCCTGGTCCTGCAGGGGCGTGGGGGGCCTGGTGTGGTGCTCAGTGGCCTCCCCCACCCCCGCCTTCACTGCAGCTCCTTCCTCTACGCCTTCCTGAACCTGCTGGTCAGCGCCTTCGTGGTCTTCCTTGTCTTCATCGCCAGCACCATCGTGAGCGTGGGCTTTACCATGTGGTGCGACGCCATCACGGAGAAGGGCACCGTGCCCCACAGGTGTGCCCTGGGCCCTGCCCACCACTTCCGGGACGATGTCTTCCTGCATGAACCTGCCTGCTCCCCCACTGAGCCCACAACTTTGCTCATCCCACTTGTGTCCCCACCTGTGCCCCATCTGTGCACACCTGGCCAGCCCTTCCCTGGGGCCCTCCCCCTTGACCCCCTTCCCAGTTCAGGGACCCTGAGCCACACACAAAAGCAGGGCCCTCAAGAGCCCTGGGGTTGGATCCAGGGTGAGGGATGGAGGCCCAGGAGGTCAGAGACTCCAGCGGCCCCAACATTGCTGGCACGTGAGTGGATGCCAGGTCCCAGAAGTTTACCCGTGGCCACGCAGTGGATGGCCCTGGAGACCCGACTCTGCACTGCTGTAGGGGGCAGAGGCCTGGGCCCTGGGCGGTAACTGGGGGCTTTGGTCCCTGAGGGTTTGGAAGATGGGGGTGGAGGTGACAGGGGTGGTGAAGGAAGGGACAGGAGCAGAAGCTTCTGGTCAGAGGCGGGTGAGGACAGAGGCCTCTGGAGCCAGGACGACTGCTCTGGGCCCTGAGAGGGGCCATCTCTGGCTTGGGGGTGGCCCGAGGTGGAGCCCAGGGACTGCCTGGTCCCCAGCGTAGGGCTCTCCACTGCCCAGCCCTAAGAGGCATTGTCCAGTGCCCCAGGCCAGGCCCCTGGAAAGGCAGGGACCCTGGGGTCACCTCTTCCAGAGGCTCCAGATTCTTTCCTTAATCAAAAGCAGACCTTGAACTTCAACGAATAAAATGGACAAAAGAGCCAAAGTGGGTGGGGGTTGGGGGGACCATACCTGCTTATCCTGCACGTCCACCCGGGGGGCCCCCGAGGGGCCTCTGCGGAAGCCTGGGGCACACAACAGAGGGACCTTTGAGCACCCTGGGTGGGTAGCTGCTTTGGGGTCCGCACCCATGGCAGCCCCTCTGTGGGGCGGGGTCTCGCCCATGTGGAGCTGAGCCCTCCCAGCTGGGCCCCAGCCACCTGCTCCCTCAGCCCCGAGGGCCCTCAGAGCGTGGGCAGGCCCCTGGGTGTGGCCACGGGCTTCTCCAGAAAGATGCCACGAGTTTCTTCACTGTCACAAACACCATTTCCAGCCCTGCAGCCCCATCCTGCTGCCCCTTCCAGAGCGTGCCTGGGCCTCTGGCCTCCCTCTCTCTGGGCATCAGCTCCCGTTAATGTGTCCTGACATCTCGCAATGCTACAGGCCCCCGAGCCCAGGCCTCATTCATTCCAGGCTTCTGAGGCCCAGCCCGACCTGGCTGCTCAGGGACAGGGGGTCTGTGGAGGTCGCTGGGGCCTTGTGGTTTGCCCTGCTCATCCCCACTGGTTCTGTTGGCCTGTGCTTCCAGCCCCAGGAGGTGAAGGGCAAGCCGGTCGGGGGGTTGCTGCCCCCATGGGTGCCCACAGGGCTCCCCTTGGCCACTGTGCAGCTCAGTCTGGGGACCCGGGAGCTAGAGTAGCACCCCAGCTTTGGAAGCCCCTGACTCTGCAGTGCTGTGGGGCAGTGGGGCCAGGGCCAGAGTCTCCAGGAGAGCGGAGGGTGGCGCTGGTGTCCCCTGTGGTCCAAGGCCAGATGGGGGCTGCGTTGGCAGGTTCCTGGCTCCACAGAGAAGGCATTGAGGCTCCCTGTTTGCCCCACCTTGGGGACAGCCCCTCACCATTAGTGGGTGATGCTCCACTGCTCCCCATGCTTAGCGGCCTGCAGCCAACTCCCACCCCCGTGACTTGCCGTTTCAGCTGCGAAGAGCTCCAGGACATCGACCTGGAGCTGAACGTGGACAACTCTGCCTTCTATGATCAGTTTGCCGTTGTCCAGGTGGGTGGGGCTTCCAGGTGGGCGGAGCTGCCCTGGTGGGAGGGAGAGAGGTGTTGTTGGGGAGGGGGCCATTCACTGCTAAGCATAAACTGTGTGCACAGCCCAGCCCCACACCCCCATCGGGGGAGGAAACAGACTGTAGTTAAGGACGGTGCCAGGCTGAGGAGGTGCAGCTGAGTGAGCCCTATGCTGGGGGAGCAGTCAGGCAGGCTTCCCGGAGGCGGGCTGGATCTTGGAGACTGCGAGGGGTTGTTGCAGGAGGGTGGGGAGAGTTGGGGTGCAGGACGTCCTAGGAGGAGCAGACAGCATGACCTAAGCAGAGGTGAGGAGGCCGTGGAGTGAGGGAGTGCCCTGGGCCTGATGGTGCCAGAAAGGAACCCAGGTGTCGTGCTGGGTCTGCAGTGCTGGGGCCGGGGGTCTGGGTTCTGGTCCTGGCACCATGTGCGCCCTCAGACAGACGCTCGAGGGCTCACAGCGACTCCCTAGCGTGTCTGAGGAAGCATGTCCCAGGAGGAGGCCCAGCCTGCGCATTTGGTGGCCTCCCCAGTCACTGCGGGGGGGAGACCCCCCTCCTTCAGCCCTGCCTCCCAGGAGGCCACGGGGCAACTCTGGGGACCCCACCTGCTGGAGCACAGGTGTGTCAGGACACGTGGTCAGAGAGGGCCTGTCCCTTGAAATCTGCATCTGACCCTGATGGCACTGACGGCGGGGCCCCCGGCCAGGAGTGGGTCCTTTCAGCGCCGAGCAGGGCCTGCCAGCACCCAGGTTCACTTCTGGACCTGCACTGGCCAGTGGCTGGTCTGGGGACTCTTTCCAAGACAAGGAGCCTTCTTGGAGGGGGGGTGGCTGGATGTCATCTGGGTGTAAAACTTCTTTGCTGAGATGAGCGGAAACTGCCAGAGACAGCTTTATACAAATTTAGTGGGAAATGCTCCAGCCCTAATTTGTGCCAATTAGATTAAGGAAGGTGCGAGCTGGGTCTGATGACAAACACCCTCCAACCAGTCAGTTTAATTGCGGCTGGAGCCTGATTCTGATTAAATTGTTTCCCCTTCAACTGTTTGGAAACAGCAGATAAAGGTCAATTTGTTCCAGCGAGTGGAGGAGCCCCGTTCGGGAGGGAACAAGCGCTCGGTGGCGCTGAGCCGGCCGCAGCTCCTCCCGGGCCCCCACCTGGGGTGACGTCCCCGTCCTGTCCCTGCAGCAGCTCATCCCTCGCCCAGCGGGTCGTGTCCTTTTCCCGAGGGGCAGGCGGGGGTGCGCCGAGCGGTGAACACTGAGTCTGGCCGGCCCCCGACACTGCCCTCTGCCCTCTGCAGTTCGGCCTCTGGGCCTCGTGGCTGGCCTGGCTGGCCATCACCGTCCTGGCCTTCCTGAAAGTCTACCACAACTACCGCCAGGAGGACCTGCTGGACAACCTGGTCCACGAGAAGGAGCTGCTGCTGGCCAGGCCGGCCTCCCGCACCACCTTCCAGGACGAGAGGAGCGCTGTCATCTAGGCGGGGCAGGCGGGCCCCGGGGCACGCGGCTTGCCCCGGGGCAGGGACCGGGGCTCTGCCCAGCCCCACCTTGCCTTGCATGTCTCCCCTGAGCCCTGTGCGCATTGCGTGACCCGCCCTCCCGGGCACCCCATCCCCACCACGAGCGTGGCGGCTGGCAGGGGTGGGGGCTGCCCTCTGGGTGTCGGGGGCATCATCTCTCAGGGGTTGGGGGAGGCAGGTGCCACCGTGGGTGTCTGTACCTGTGAGGTCATGTGAGGGTGTGGATATGTGTGTGGTGTGCATGCATAGTGATCGGTGTGTGCATGCGTGAGCACGCGTATGAGCGTTGATCTGCATGGGAAGGGTGAGTGTGTGTGCATGTGGGTGTATGCATGTGCACGTGGGTGTGCTCACGCACAGGTGTGTGGGAATGTGCGTGTGGGTGGAGACTGGAGCGGCCAGGACATGCGGTGTGTGCATCGGGCAGCTCTCTGCACAACTCGTCCACAGGGTGCCCCCAGCGCCCCCAGCGCCCCCAGTGCCCCAGAGGAGGGGCAGCCCTCCCATCTCAGGAGGCCCCAAGAGCACAACCCCATCCCCCAGTGGCCAGTAAAGGACGAGTGAGGGGAACTGGGAACCTGGGGCTCAGAGGTGAGGAGCTCGTGCTTGGCTGTGGACCCCCCTCCTCCCCTTCCGTACCTGCACACTGTCTCCTATGTCCTGTCCGGGAGCGAGAGGGGGAGGGGGAGGGGCCCAAGGTGTAAGAGCCCATCCCACCCTCCCTGGGGCTCAGTCAACTATTTCGGCTTTCTGGGCTGGCCCTCGTGCTCTGGTTTGCTCCCCACATCAATGGCTCTCACTGCCAGTGACAAGTTTGGTCCCCCAGGAGAGGGGGGTGGGGCACGGAGCCTCCAGAGGCCTCCGGTCTGGGCCTGGGTTGAGATGCCGGGGTAGGGGCAGCCTGTGTCTGGGAAGCGATGCTGCAGATCACTTATCGTGATGCTGCTTGCCTGGCACCTTGGGAGGGTGGGTGGGTGGGGCTTGGGTTCAGGGCAGCTGAGGTTCCTGGCATCTCTGAAGGTCTGGTCCCAGGACACGGCCCTATTCTGGGCGGGGTCCTGGGGGGAGGTGTTTTGACAGTTGCTGAGGCTCTAAGGAGACCTGCCCAGCCTAGTCCACCAGCTGTGGGGACGCTGTCCGCCACTGAGAGCTCCTCGTCTGCCTGGTCCCCCATCAGGCAGCAGCCACCTGGGCCCTGTACAGAGCAGGGATGGGATGTGGGCTTCGAGCTGAGGGTCTGCTGCAGGTTTGAGTCTGCCCTTGGCATTCGTGGATTGCCCAGAGTCGGTCTGGGCAGCCCCCCGGTCAGGCTAGCAGAGACCTGAGTCCAATTCCCCACAAGGCCACCTGCAGGGCGGGGCTGTTGCAGACACTGGGGCTGTCTCAGGCCGGCTGCACCCGGCATCCCCAGACATCCCCACCCCGGGGGGCTTCCAGGAGAGGCAGAGCTGGCCCTGGGAGGGCTACTGGGACAGGAGCTGTGCGCCCATGCAGTGGGCCGGGGAGGCCCTCCAGGGCTGGACAGGGAGGGCAGGCTGCCCCCGGGCTCCTGAGTGACCCCCCCGGACTCTTTGACGCTGCCTTGCCCCCCACCCCACTGCTGTTTGACAGCAGGTGTCCTGCTTCCACTCTGCTTCCGGCTAAGCGGAAAGTAAATATCCTTAAACCTAAATGTATCTCTTTCTCAAAATGCAAATAAAAACAAAAACACCCGAACCACTAACTGAACGTCGTGGGGCCTGTTGCGTTTCTCTGACTGAACGTCTGGGGCCTGTCGCGTTTCTCTGGCTGAACGTCGCGTTTCTCTGGCTGAACACCGTGGGGCCTGTCGCGTTTCTCTGCGGCCGTCTTTTCTGCGTCTTCGGTTTGCCTTGTTTTCATTGCTTGAGATTTAAAACTTGAAACACTGCCTTCTGCACTTGTTTCTGGAGTTGCAGAAACTTCTAGGAACTCGGATTGGCCTCCTGGTACCCTCCCATCCGCACACTTCCTGGTGGGCTCCGTCCTGGCTGCTTCCTGGCATGATCTCCTGGGTGTGAGGATGTTGACAAATTTCAGAATTCTTGGGGTTGCGGTGTATGCCTCGAACAATATTTTTCCAGAAGCAACAAGGGTCATGGCCTAGTGGACCCTAGCTGAGCACGTCTTTGCAGTGAATGCACCCTTAGCTGAGGGCAGGGGGCCGACAAGAGGGGGCTGCCGCATCCCTCACTGCAGGGCACTCACACACGTGACCTGACCTCTCGGAGCCTCGGTTTCCCCATCTGGATTATGGGGCAGAAACCTGCCCGTACTCTTCGGGGGGGTGGGGTGAGATGAGGCGGGGTCTGGGGTGGGTGGGCTGGTATGTATAGGGGGTGGTAATGATGGTCCCCGAGGGCCAGGGGAGCCCCCACTGTGGTCCCTCTTGGCCTCTGCTCCTGAAGGTGGGGGTGCTGGGACTCAGCCTTTGCTGGGCTCCCTGCTCTGGGCTCCCCGAATTGTGAAGTCAGAAGGGACCCTGGAGACCGCAGCCCTGGACCCTGAGGCCCAGAGGCGGTGGTTTGCCCAGCGCCCCCACCTCTACCCACCGTAAATCAGTCCCCATGTCCCTCCTTTGGGTACAAATCTCCAGACTGAAAGAGGCGGCAGGTGTTTTAATAGAAAATCAGTGTCTCCCCACTTGGGTCGTGGGGACAGACGCTTAGAGGACAACCCACGGCAGGGGCAGCCCGGCACTGGCCGCCACGGGACACTCGTCTGAACGTTCCCTGGAGGTCCCTCCTGGTGTCTGACCCCGGGCCTCCCAGCTTTGTTCAGGCCCCCACTCCATGCCTTGCTGCGCGGGTGCTGACACGGTGTCTACGCAGTCCCGGGACTCACGGGCCCTGCCGCTGGCGCGGCGCCGGCCGGGATCTGGGCACAGACGGCGTCTTGGCCCTTCTACGTCCCCTCCCAGCTCCACACATCCGGGCAGGACGCGGGGTAGGAGCTGGGCAGGACACGCCCCCTCGGGTGTGAGGAGACCCCAGGTTCTTGGGTCTAGTGCAGGCTTCAGACAAGATTGGGATGCTGGGACCCAGCCTGTGTGTGGCTCCCCAACCCCGGCAACCAGACCGGCCTCTCCCAATGCAGTTTTGGGGTCTGGGCCACCAGGGTCTTAGCAAAAAGAAGCTGGTTTTACCTCTTCCTAGGGGTCCCCCAGATACAGGGAGAGGGTCCCCGTCCTTAAGGGGCTGCACACGGCCACACCCAGGCCAGGCCCAAGGGCACCAGGATTTCCTGCTGTGGGGAGGGAGGGGCCCAAGGGGTCTCCGGAGTGCACGGGTCCCCAAGTTTTAGTAGTAGAATTCTTTTTCCCAGAAAACCTCCCAGTGAACCCCAACATATGGAAATAGGAGGGGGCTGACTGGAGTCGGGGGCCGCCTGTTGCACTCCCGAAGCTGTGCACCCCACATCTGATCTCCAGCCGGGGCCCCCCTTTTCCTAGTGGGCCTGCCTGCAGCAGCCCCTCAGTCTCTAGGAGTCAGGACCCCTGGCTGCTCCAGAGCCTGGGCCTGGGCTGCCTGGTAGCCCCGACCTGCCCTGGGGGGCTCCCCCTTGCAGCCCGGCTCCCCTCCCGGGGCCGTCAGAGCTGTAGGAGGCAGCGCCAGCACTCCAGGGCCGCGAGCCGCAGGCGCAGGAGCAGGACGAGGAGCCGGGCCCGGAGGCCCTCCAGGGCCAGCGAGACGGCTTGGCCCGGCCCAGGTACAGGCCTAGCACCAGCAGCAGCAGACGCACACTGTCA